CTTGTGACCTAAAACTGGGTCGCAGCGACAGCTTTTCATTATCGTGCTTTTAAATGACAGATGTGCTGGAAGATTTTTGTTATTGTTCCAGAGTGCTTTTAATTCAAACGTATGGTTACGCCTGGAGCCTTAGAGAAGGGTTTTTGTCTTACAGGACAGTTATTTGTTGTTTGCAACAGCAGGACAGGCATCAGTCAACAGGCATGTATTTATTTGAGGAGAAAACGCGTGTCAGCCAGCTAGAGACTCGTGAGGACAGAAATTGTTTGCTCCCTGAATATGTTATTCCTTAAAATGCATTATACGTTAATGAAAATAATAGCCCAAGTGTAAAAGAAACAATTTTACAAGATGTAAGCTGTTGTTTGTTGTATATAGTCACTATTTTCTGCTTGCTCTAGTCTACCTCTTCTCGTCTTGGGGGAAGGAGGCAGAGACACCTGTAAACAGCGTAGCCCAGGTTACACTAATCTATTGTAGTACACTTGAAATTATTGTAAAAAGTAGTCTCTGGGGGACCCAAGGTTAGGTAATAAGTGAGGACTCTTGGGCAAGTTATTCAGTTTATGTTTAAAGCAGATAGTTCTGGGATTCAGCTTTTGAAAACTTAAGTATACAGAATTTCTAAGCTATTTGAACCCTGGTTGAACTTATAATGAAACAAAAGATTGTATGTGGCTTCTTTTATGGGAACTTTGTTTTGTTTTGGCCAGAATTAGACATTTTGGGCAACGGTTACTTCATTTTCACAATTTCCCTTTGAATTGCACCGCTTAATAGGAGTCCACAATAGCATATATCCTCCTCCTCATCATCATTATATATACTATATGTTACATAATTTTCTTTTTCTGAATGAATAAACATAGACTTACTTCATTGTGGAATTTTTAAAGAATGTACTTTTTAGGAAAATTAATTGATCTTGACACCAGCCCAATTGAACTAAATATGAGTAAATTTTGGCCTGAGTTTTAAATCTATGTACACAAATTTGCACTTTTGAAAATTGGTGAAGCGATATAAATTTTTTGTTTGTGCAAGAGAGCCAGGAAGCTGATGCTGATTTGTTCTGAACTTTTCCACATGAATTACCACTGGCTTAAATAGTTATTGATTCTTAAGCTCCTGGAACTGTTGGCCTATTTATGGTAACTTGAATAATATTTGGAATAATTGGGAAGCTATAAGAGGGAAGAGAGTATATGACATTTATTAACTTGTTCAAAAATAATAAAAATCATGGCAGAATTGTAAAAGAAAACTTTTCTTTGTCGTTGAGTGATATTATTTACACTATCTTTTTGTTTGCAGATTTTCTCTAAGCCATCCACTTACTATGGAAACCTGGATTTCAGAACCGATACAGATAGAGATGTATATTACAAATCTTATATTATTCCTATTTAAGTTGATGGCTCATTATTCCAAGTGGAAAACAACAGGGGCTGTAGCAAGAAAATTGACTTGTTATTTTCATCCTCTCTGATGTCAGAGACTTACCTTGGGACTTTCCTCTTGCTTACTAGATGTGAAAGATGAAATGACTTAAGAAAAGTTGATAAAAACTTCTTACTTGTTTAATACCCTAGATTATTGATCATTGCTCAGTAGAACTTGTGACTTGGGGGAAGTGAAGCACTCCACATTTTATTACCGTACATCATAGTTATCACTTTGAATTCTAAAACAGTGGTGTAGAACTTTACACTAAACAGGATTAATTTACATAGTTTATTACTATAATGGTGAAAAATTTACAGTAGTCAAAATACCATATAATAGAGGAATAGTGAAACTAACGATAATCCATGCAGTTATTAAAAGTCACATTTTTGGAAATATTTACTGGCATGAGAAAGTACAATATAATGTTGAGAAAAAAATCAGAACATAAAGAATATGCTTTGTTATTATTTATAACATATCACATACAAATGGCAAAATCATTGGCAGGAAATAAATATTTTAATAAAATATTAAAAGATATCTGGATGATGGGATTGTAGGTGATTTTTATTTTAGTGTTTATACTTTTTTCTGTCTTCTGAATAGTATTACTCTGATAATCACAAAAGTGACATTAAAATATTTTCAAGGGTCATAGGAGAAAATCCTAAAAATCCCACAAAGCCACTGCTCCAATAGACTATCTTATGATTCATTATTAGAAAGATAACTCAAAACATGGTGCTTACGCAGTACACAGTAATGGAAGGAGCTAATCATTTAGGTGAAGGCACATGGTTACCAGCACCAACTTGGTAGTGGTTTTACAGATGTAGATGCTTATATTAATGCACACTGTTACTGTCCAGCCTCTTTTCTGTGTGGATCTTACACCCAAACTACTTTATATTGACAGTGCCACCTATTGATGGACTGCTTGACTCCATGTTTCCTCTGTACCTCATCAGTCAGTAGGCAGCGGGTTTTGAATGTTTATGAGGTGCCAGGTATTTTGCTAGTCACTGAGGATACACAGGTGAATGAAGCATGATTTCTGTCCTCAAACTCTGGTTGAGAACCCCTTCTTTTCTTCTTGGGCCGCCAGTGCATACTGTGTACTCTGCTTTCCCAGTATCTTTTTCCTGGTGGTCATACCCTCTTTTAACTTTCTTTATGGGAAAATATATTTTGAGTTCCAAACAACCAATTTAGGAATACATTTTTGGAGCATTATTTGATTGTGTGCTGGGGAATTTTACATTCAGAAGGGCCACATGTATGTTCATCTGTGGCTATTACTGTTAATTTTAAAGTGTATGACAATTTCTCAGTACCTCCTTGCTTCCTTCTTTTAAAAAGCATAAACAAGTAAAGGCCAACAGAGAGAAGAGACAAACTATCAAGGGAAAAGGTGGGGGCCAGGGGGTGGCGCCTGGGTGGCTCAGTCAGTTAAGCGGCCAACTTCAGATCAGGTCATGATCTCACAGTTTGTGGGTTCAAGCCCTGCATCGGGCTCTGTGCTGACGGCTCAGAGCCTGGAGCCTGCTTCAGATTCTGTGTCTTCCTCTCTCTGTGTCCCTCCCCTGCTCATGCTCTATCTCTCTCAAAAAAATAAAATAAACATAAAAAAAATAAAAAAGGTGGAGAGATATCAGGGGAGTTTTCCTACTGGTGTTATACTTTATTTTCACTGAGAATAGTCAGTCGTCAAAATGTATGGTAAGATATACTGTTTCTGGTATGCTTTTAGTATCTCTTTGGATCCTTATAAAAATGGATTTTCTATATACATACATACATTAACTCACAGTTTAGCTGTTTTCCTTTCCAAATAAAAGCTGAAATAGGGAGATTGGAAATTTCTTAAATTTCTTTTTATTTTTCCTGTAATATTTTGTAGATGAGACATCATTATTTTTGAAAAGCTTTAAAAATGTAGAAAATTACCCAAAAGAGTGGTAAGCACACATATACTCACCATAAAAAGTGCTAACATTTTTTCATTTTTGCTTCAGATATATAGACGTAGGTATAGACCTATATATGTATGTGTATATTTAAGTTTATATATATATGAGTATAAATATATATACATATATATACTCATGTATATGAGTATATACACATAAATATATATAGAAGTATATATAGAAGTATATTTAATTATATATACATAAATATATATATAAGTGTATGTATTTGTGTGTGTGTGTGTGTGTATGTATATATATATATTTAAGTTTATTTATT